CAGGAAGATCTTAGGACTCCTCCGATATAGTTTAGAAATCTTCACTCCAGTCTACCTTGTTATTCTAAGAAGGATGTAATGCCAACTCTTTCTATCAGCAACTTTGTGTATCTCCAAATCTGTCTACCTTTGCTTAGTGGGATTTCTTCCTTAAGTATAATTTAAATCAAACCTTCTGTATAATTAGCTTCTTAATCTATTTTTTATTAGAAATGTAAATAATGTTTCTGTAGTGATCAGATTCATAAAATTTCTAGTGGTTTTGCGGTGGGGAGTCTTTAAGACCACCATACAAAGCTACTACCAATGGAGAAATCGCTTCTCCAGTGTCGTTGACCTGCCGGCACATGGTCTAATCACACAACTGCTTCCAGTTTTCTCCAAGTCTTACTACTGGAAAGTTTCATCTTACATGGAAACTTCTTGTGCCTTCCACCCCATGATCCAATCTTGGCTCTCTATAATTACACAGAATAAGATTCACTTTTCTTCAACAAGGACAAATATTTAAAGACTGCCTTCATATCCCCTCTTTATTCCATTCTCCTATTTTTGTTCTTTCAAGTAAACTTTTTGTTATTCCTTTCACCATATCTCAGGTTGGGGAGACAGTAATAAATGCCTGATTGCTGTCCTCTTATATGTCATTCCCTCCTTTAAAAAGTTCCAGTGCCAAAAGAACACAATACTGCATGTGAGGACTGGCCAGTGCAGAAAATGTGAGACTGGGTAAGCCATATGATCTAAATTGTATTTTTTCTGTCCTTTTCCTATTTTGCTTTTTGTGAGTCTTTAACTTGCCTTGAAATCTGAATTATCCAAATTTGTCATGGAGAAATGTGTGAAGTTTAGTCTATATAGACTTAGGGCAACCCAGCCTTTGAAGCTAGAAGAGTATCTAGTGATCATTTAGTTCTAACTGGTTCATTTCACAGATGGAGGAAAAGTTTAACAGGATGTGCAGAGTGGGAGAGCTTTCTGAAAAGTTCTCATCTTTCTTAAGGGCTGTATACAATGTGATATTCAGAAGTCCTGCAGCCATATATCTTTTAATACTATCTGTATTAACCCAATTCCTCCATCACTATACATGATAGGCAGAAAAAATGACCCCTTCCCCCAAAATGTGTCCATGTCCCCCAGGATCTATAAATGTGTTATCTTATATGGAAAAAGGGACTTGGCAGATATGATTAGGATCCAAAATTTTGAGATGATGAGATAATCCTGGCTTCTGTCGGTGGGCCCGACCTGACTACTTGAGTCCCTAAAGGTAGAAAAACTTTTCTGTGCATGGTCAGAGGGAAATGTGACATAAAAGGAAGGAATCAGAGATATGAGCATTGATGGTCTTAAAGGTGCAGCAAGGGGACAAGAGCCAAGAAATGAGGACAACACCTAGAAGTTAGAAAAAGCAAGGAAACAGATCCCCCCTAGAGTTTTCATAAAGGAACACAGCCCTGTCAATACCTTGAGTTTAGCCCAGTGGGATTCATGTTAGACTTCTGACCTAGGATACTAAGAAAATGTGTTGGTTTAAGCTACCGAGTTTGTGGTAAATTGTTGTAGTAACAATAGAAAACATAGAAGACAAGCCCAAATACGAAGCCAAATGCATTCACAGCTTTTTAAACCCCAAGCATTAAAAATATGTAGCATGTGCAAAGTATTACTGAGCCCAATTTCCCTTGTTTGCTAGCCATGTCCTCATAACGAGTGAGGCTCTTTTAGAAATTGCATTAATAACTCAGGGTACCATTTAGTCATCATTGCTGCAGTGTGTTAGCTGTTATCCTGCTGATGGTGACCTAAATCTCTTAAGTCACTCCCAGGGAATTGCTCTTGTACTGGGAAAAGTATCAATTTAGATTAATCTTTCATATTATCACTTTTAGAAAGCATGTTTGTAGAGCATTTTGGAACCCTTTCTCTTTTACACCTGCGTACACATGGCACTTGCTTTCATAATAAAGGCCAATTTATACTAAGTATGTTTCTAAACCAACTTAGAGTTTTATTAATTTAGTCAATGCTTGGAGATAGCACAATTTTCCCTAAGAAGTTGAGAGCAATGGAGATTGCTTTGGGACCTTTTCCCAAATATGTGGTTTCATATAAGTACCGTGCGCTAACTGATTGCACCACTGGAGCACCAAATATGTGGTTTCACAAATCCACTGCCACCTGGGTACTCCTTCATGGGCTGGGGACAGAGATGTGCTTATATTTTATGGTCTTAAACTGCCTATCAAAGAAAAAAAATAATCCTTATCTGTTATTATTTTATGCTAGATAATGGGCTAGTTTATGGAACACATATTTTCACATCTAATAATATTTTCACACTCAATGAGGAAGTACAATGAAGAAGCCCTGTTTCACAAATGAGGAAACTGAGATTCAGTGGGAATAAATCATTTACAAAAGTGCACTCAATTTATAACTGCTAAAATGAGACTCACACAATGGCCAGTCTGACCCCAAAGCTTGTGCTCAATCTGTTTCCACATATTGCTTCCATGTAAGCATGTACCTATCACACCTTGTCGGGACAATTGTAAGCCTATTTATCTCACCATTCTACATTCTCTGGAACATGGTGGGAACTCACATAGTGTACTGAACGGATAAATGAATGAATTCTTGAAGCACAGAGAGAAGGACTTGTTCCTTTATCTTCATAAGAACATCTAGGTAAATTGGTATTTTTAAAAAGTCATTATGAAGATCTGATTAAGCTAAAAAATTAAAACAAAAAACCAAACTTTAAAAAATATGCATAAAGTTTTATGTCTGTGTTTTACCCTCTCTCCTCTAGTTGTGTATGCATACAAACACACACTAATGTTGTTAGTGGATTTGATTTAAAGCACAGCGCGTACCTCTGTAAGATGGCTAATTACTTGTCCCCACTCAGAATATGTAAATAAGTTTCCTGGGGCAGAGCAAGGAGGTAAAATGAAAGCTTTAGAGTGGATAGGCTTTAACATTAACTTTAGAATAGTCCTTGACACAATGTTGAAACTTTAAGCTCCTGTAAATTTTGTGGAACAAGTAAGCTCTGAATGAATTAAAGAAAAAAAGTCACTGGAATGTACTTTTTTAATGCTGTCGTTTTCAAACTATTTTTCAGCAGCAGGACCCTTCCTTTTTTTTTTAAAGCTTAATTAGAACCTAATATGTAAAACAGATAAAAGAGGAGGAGCTGCTTTGAGTCAAGTAGGGGTGAGGGACCCAGAGCCTCCCATACTCAACTCCAATTCTGTTGAAATCATAGTGCTCTGGAAAACCCAATGTAAAGGCTACTCTATTAATGATTCTGTCCTCTTGCAGAGTTCTACAAACTATAATAAACAATTATAGAGTGTTGTATAGGATTTATTGTTACATGACTTTTATCATTTGACCTGTGTAAATGTATCTTTTGTCATTAGAAATACTTGATATTTCCAAGGTTTTTTATTTTATGAAAATATACCTATGTTATTTTCCAGAGATCCCAGGAATCAGTAAAATGATCACTTCCAAATTCCAGACAGCTTTAGGCTAGTGTACCTGGAGATTTTTTGGATGTAAATTTTATTTCGTATATGATTTGTCTGATACTTAGAAGGGGTGAACATGCAGGAAAGGGATCCTGTGGGTTTGTCTTGGAAACAGGAAATTCTCAGCACAAATTTATTGGATAGATGGTTGAGATTAGATTCATTGCTCTATAGTGAAAAGTACCAAGTATTAAGTGCAAACATGAACAAATATCTTTATAAGACAATTATAATTGACATAATTTTCTACCCCTTCATTATTTGTTCAATATTGAAGTAATAGGACTTAAGTCAGATTTTTAACTATAGCTTTAAGGAATTTCAGCTAAATACTAAAAATATCTGAGACACTACCATTTATTGAGCAATTACTAAATGTCAAAGAACCATGAAATGGTTTATTAGACATTAATATCACTTGATCCTCACAACATTCACAGGAATTACAATTATTAGTTCCATTTTTGGAAGAAAAAACTGTTACCAAGAGAGGATCAAGTAACTTGTCCCAAGTCACCAAGTTTATAAATGTTAAGATCAAGTCTTCCTGGCCAGAGAACTCTATGATTGGTAGCCTCCCTGCTTAAAGTTAGTGCATAATTTTTTGAATAATTCACAGTGTTTTATTTTGACTTGAGCTGTGCTTGAAATTACAAGTATGCCAAACAAGAGTGAAAACACATCTAGTGCTTTATCACAAGGAAAACTTATTCTATGTTATTTTGACCCTGGGGAAAGAGCCAAATATTGTTAAGCCAATTCCTTACTTTTTGTCTAATCTGACATTTTTTTCTAGAACCCACACTTTTTCTAGAACCCAGAACTGTTTTAATGCAAATTCTTATACACTTCTTTATGGACCTTGAAATCAAACTGTTTGACGAAGGACATGGCTATTATCACTGGAATCCAACTTTATTTAATCTTACAGGCAAGGAATCTATGTCATATTTTTTCCAGTACCCCTGCCATTTCTATGTATGAGGAAAATGCCCCAAATTTCACTGAAACACAGCATACCCTTTAACTACTCTTGGGGCAGGACTGGGATGGCAGTGGAGTGCACCTTCTGGAGGGTGAGGGGAGGATGGCTATGCATACTGAAGAGAAATGGCAGCAATTCTAAAGAAGTCCCCAAAGTGGTAGCTGCCTGCTGTGTGCTTTGATGCCTTGCATGGACAGGCAAGGGGGCATTATTTAAACAAGTGAACTCAGGAGACCAGTACATGGCCATTGCCTTGCATCATTGTGGAAGACAAAAATTCTCTCTGCAGCCAAACAAAACCAGATACTGCCTTTCAGATTCCATGTTGATACTTGCCCTAAAATCAAGACAAAGTTTATTGAGCTAATCACATAATAAGAATGGTTCCTTTTACATTATTTAAAAATATCACACTCACAAAGCCATCAAATAAAGGAAACTGTACAACTATAAAAAACAATCCCAGTGAGCATGGCCTTATCATTTTATTTTCTTCTTTCCACTTTTGCAAGAGTCATCAAATTTCTCTCCTCTGCCTTCACATACGGAAGTGTACGTGGGTGGTGCACAATCTGTTGTGGGGCCCAAGGACTGTGAAGCTACATCAAATAAGACAGGGTAAGTGGTGGAAGGAGGCCAGAATCCGAGATGTAGTAGGAGCATCTCACAGGGTGTTTGAAGTCTGGAGCTATTTTATTGTCCTTTGCAGAAAGAATAAAAGGGCTTCCTAGCTGCATGAATATTGAGCTGTGTTCACATAAAATCTAAATCCAAGTTTGAACTCAAACCCTTCATGTTTCCCCTTTCACCTACTCGCCCTCCATTTTATTTTCTTAAGCTTTGTAAAGTCTTTTGTCCATCTTGTTTTATAGACCTGCTCCCAACTAGGGACATCTCCTTGCTTCTTTGAGCCACACAAATATTTGCAGTGCTTCACTCAATCAGCCTCCTTGCCATAGTTTGGTTAGCACAGGCACAGCCAGCAGCAATTATAAGCTTCCTGGGTCCCTGGCTTCTCATTCATGAGAAGCTGAAAAGAAAGGTTAGGAAAAGTATTTTTTGACTAAGAGACATTTCACACAAAATAGAAAATAACTAAAATGTAATGACAGTTTTTATACAGACCTGCAACTGACTAATGGACAGCCCATTTTCATGTTTTTTTAAAAAAAATCTTATTTTTTCAGGCTTTGAAATTATTGTAAGTTATGAAAATGAGTCTGTATGCTGTCCCTAATAAATTGTTTTGCCTAACAAACAAGTTGCTTAAAACCTTGGAGTCATGGGGAATAAAACCACATTTGCAACATGTTCTAAAAAAAGAAAACAGAAGACAAACAGAAGACAAAGAAAAAATGAACACTTTTAAAAAGCAATGCATGCCTTGGTTCTTTAGAAAAAAATCACTTTAGCAATGATTAGGACAGAAATTACCAGAATAAAGTGAATAGCACGCAAAAGGCACTTACCTATTTTAAGAGTAATGGAAAAAAACATTGTGGAAACACCTGTCATGGCATATCCTTTTTAGCAAAAGAGGCTTCATTTAAAATGGAGGATTGTAAGTAACTATGAAATTCCTCACACAGTCAGTTCTCTAATAAATATTTGGATGTAGTCATTGGCTGGAAGTTTCTTTAAAAAGAGGCTGTGTTTTTGAAGTAGACAATCTTAACAAATCATGAGAAGTAGCCAAGAAAGGGATGGACACACTTGAAGCTCTGACTCGAGGTGGAAGGGAAGGCAAGGACAAATGTACATAACCTTAACGTTTGTACCCTCATAATATGCTGGAAAAGAAAAAGAAATAGGACCTTGGCTAGAACTCAGATCATTTTCTCTTCTTTACTAGAGACATCCAAATATTAAAAGAAAACAAAACCAAAAGAATCCCCAAATCCAAAACAAAAAACAAAAATGCCAAAATAAGAGAGTTAATGAGCAAATATTTTTTTCTGCTTTTTTTAGTTTTATTTGTTCCAATCCTAAAATAATATCTTATAGATGGTGGAAGGAGATAGCCCTACCAAGACATGATGATAAAAGTGAACATGGCTTTCTCTTTCATTGAATGGACTTACAGTGTTGAATTTACGATTAAGTGTGTCTTTAAATTATTTTTATTTAATAAGCATGTATTTTAATTTATATTTGGTTAAGATCATCCTTATATTCTCTCCAAGTTCTTGCATTTCTCAAATATGAGGGACTGCTTATTTCTGAAGGAAAGAATGAGTAATATGGAAAGAATAAGGATGAGCTAGTCGAGCTCTCTGCTAAGAATTTAGGATCTAGGTTCTCTACAACATATTAAACATTTATTTTTGACATAAACAGTAATAAGACCCTGGTGCAAGTGACTAGTGAATAGGACCATGGAGTTCTCTACCAATAGGATTGAGAGGCAATTGCTGGTGACATCAGCTCCCTGACGACTAGAACACTATCTAAGCTCCTGCACCTGTGGTTCAAACTTCCATTTTAGGTGGGTTTTGCCAGAGTTCTTTCCCCTTGTGTGCCAATTGAAGATCAATCTGACTGAAGAACCTCAAAGTTTGATTCATTATAGTTAACTCTGAGATAGAATATTTCTGGAACCATCCTATACCTTTTATGGTTGTTTTTTTTTTCCCCCCCCCTCAAGTAAGGAGGTAGAATGAATTTCTGGGCCACCATTATTTACTTGGTAATGTTGCATTTCCTTGCTAGGGGAGGGCTAGGAAAGGCTGACTTTCTGAAGGGCTTTCAATCAGCAATTGGATGGATGTACTCTGCTACTGTGTACCCCCTCTAGCACTTGGCTTTTAATTTTTACATCTGAATTATGAAATGCCACCTCTACCAGCTACTGCCAGGAGCTGAGAACATTAATATTGATGTCCAGGAAGGTTGAGAGTGCAGCTGCAGGAAGATTTAAAGATGAGAATTATCAGGGACAGCATTTGAGTAAATAAATCCACTATACAATTTGCTTACCTTTTCACCCCAAATGCTAAAGGAAATTTATTTTTAAAGAAAGAGAAAAATCAGCATATGATCTGAGCCCACTAAGTATAGCATAGATGTTTCCCTCTTTTCTTCCGACCACACTCATCTGTCATAAACATGTGTGACTGGCAAGGGCTGAATGCAGCAAGGTGTGTTGCAGTTTCAAATGATATAAATTTTAAAAACGGGAGGAACAGGAGGCAGAGGGAAAGGGCAGATTTGGACACAACATTTGTCCCCTTGCAGTGTTATACTTAGTTATAGCCACATAAGCGTACAGAAGGCAAACTGTTGCTTGTGATGCTTGGGAACCATCTGCTGAGCCTAAGGCAAATTTCACATTAAAACCCAATTTCAGTTGTGACCTAAAAATGAGGAGAAATGCTGTCATTTCTGAGTGAATTCCACTTTGGATGTCTTTTCCCTACCCTTGGCATAGCAAAGTGGAGCTCGTAGGGTGGGAACCTAAATGAAACAAAAGCCACAGGAGGCAAACACAAAGCACTTAGTTCCCCCTCTCCACCCCAAGATTTGCACAGCTGTGGTAGTATTCACAAACCAGACTCGAGCCTTGATATGAGGAGTGATCACAAATCTGCTGGACCAGCTTCTGCTCACAGTGGAGCAGAGATTTGCTTATTTTCCATTTTCAAACATGACTCAGACTTGCACAGTTTGATTTTCCATCAAGAACAAAGGTTAGGAATCCTCATGTAATTCGGGGAAATCCAAGCATAGTTTTTCTTCAGGAGACAATTTTAAAAAACCCACAAAAATAAGAAATAAAGTCCAAAGTAGACTTGGTTCTAAATTTCCTTTTAATACTTATTTTTTCCAGCCACCCCCCTCTCTTTTGGGGATAGACTACAGTGTCCCTGATTTCAAAGGGTCTAATCAATTTGAGTAGATAAATACAAACCAATTGACACTATAGAAGCACACTGAAGTAATACAGCTTGGATAAATTATTGCTGAGATGTACATATGTAATATCTTTAGAATGGGAGGGTGAATCAAACACGTCTTCCTTGAGAAGTTAAGCATCTTAAAGAATGTGATGGATGTGTTTTAACGATGCCAAACAGAGGACTTGAGCATCATAACTGGACCCACCATCACTGAATACTCAAAGTTTGCATGGCCACTGCCATTGTCACAGAGCTTGAATGAAAGTTATAGGGCCCTCATTCAGTCTCACCTCCAAATGGACTGCTGAGCCTCAGTGAAATCAACACATGCCTGGAATGACTATAGATGTTCCTATTAGAAGCTCATTACTCTTTGCTTTAGCACCTGCAGGAAGAACATCTGCCAGATCTCCCTATAGACCAGTGTTTCCCAAACTTGACTACCCTTGTAAATTACTGGGGGGCTCATGTTCAAATGCGGATTCTGATTTAGGAGTTCAGGGGCAGGGCCTGAGCATCTGCATTTCTAACAAGCTCCTGGTGATACAAATACTGTGGTCTATGGAACATGCTTTGAAGAGCACAGGTACAGGACCAACAGTAGATTTCTTTGTATTGTTCTGAAAATATAAGAGAAGTGGTGTGTGTGCATGCATGCGTTAAGCTTAGTGATGATGATGGGAATACTAAAATTGTGAACCATATGTCTTTTGAAGGCATAAATTGATTTGAGAGAATTGTACATGGAATCTGTAGAATTCGGTATCTTAGTGCCTCTTACTAAACAATGGCATTTCATTTTGGTCAAATTCTGGAAGTTTTGTACAGGGGGCATCTGTGACACTTTTATTATTCTTCTTTATCTCTAAAGTCTCAGTAGAGCAAAAACTTAGATTGCTTTATTTGATGAATTATGACTAAAAATTAGATTTCCTTTTCTGTAGCAATAAAAATGTGTTCAAAACCCTTTCAGACTTCACTGCTGCACATTTGGTGCAGTTTCTGAAAAGCTGCTTCAGGGTCTTTCACAAATCTATATAGGCCTAATGGCAAGGGATTCTGTTTTAACGGCTCTTTCAAAGTCCGGTTGCTAAACTTTTCCAGGGGTTTATTTCACACTATAGCATTTTGGTTGTTTTTCTACTATCTCAGCATTCAGTGGTTCAGTAAGGATTTTTTTATCACCTACTTTGTGCAAAGAAGCTCCTAGAGTCTAGAAAGATGATTAATACCTGGTCAGGCAGACCTGGGTTTAAATTCCAGTCCTACCATGTATACTTACTTGACTTTGGGAAAGTTTATATAGCCTAAGCCTCAGTTGCCTCTCATCTGTAAAATGGGGATAATAATTCCTATTTATTAAATATGTGTAAGATTACACAGGATAATGTATATTCAGTTTTTAGCAGGGATATGTAAAAACTAAAAAAAAAAAAATTCTGACGGTGACATTTAAGTTATTATGATACCTACTCTAAAGAGTATAAAAACCTAGCACCGGATCCCACATTCTACAAATATTACAATGTCTCATTGCATAAAGCATATTCTGAGATATAAATTAATAATATGCTTTAGAGGCTGTGTGTAATTATTGCGTGTGTCTGTTCCTTGTAGTCTATAGAAGCTGACACATCGTCTCACAACCTTGGTTAATATTTGTTAAATATTTTATTTGACAAAAATAATGGGAAAGGGAAAGGGTTAAATTTCTGAAATAAATGGTGGTGCTAAAAGGAGCTTCTGGAAACATAGAAAACTTAAATTACTGAAATTTTAACTCATTCTTTATTTCTTACTATAATTAGAACAAAGAATATTATGTTGATATTGAAAGAGTAAATGGCTATTTGAGTATTATTAACCTAACCGTCAAAAGAAAAGAGAATTCCAAAGGTGAGCTATGAAACTTAATCAACTTTTAAAATAAAGTTCTGATAGCCCTAAAGTTGCAGCCCATGCTGTTTATCCCACCTGTCTTCCCCAACATCTAGCATGTGGGACTAGAACTAACACTGGCACTCAAATATTTAATTGAGGTTAGCTGAACTAGATTTTTTTACTTATCATTGAAATGTTTATTTCATAAGAAAAAGACTGCATGTCAAATGATAATCTTTGAAATAATTTAAAA